TGTCAAAAAAGAAAACTAGGAATTTATCAATTACCTTGTACAGGATCAAATTCAACAGATTTCTCAGGTGTACATGTATCATATTCTGATACCGATCGACTTAATATTGACATTGATTTACTTGATGATGATGCTGATAATGATGATGATTTACTCTTTGTTTTCGATGATGTACCCATATCACTTGTTATATCTTCATCTTCAACATCATCAGCATCATCTCCTGGTGAACCTGTTACGCCAGCAACGGGATTTTCATAACCTTCGACAAGTTCTTCACAATTAATCTGAAGATATTTGAAGAGTAAAATAAATATGTTAGAAAAAAAGAAAATAAAACAAACCTTATCAGCACCAACCCATTTACATGTTTTATCATTAGGATCAAAATAAGAACCTAAAAAGAGGATTATTGATATAAGTATACACTCATTTGCTCTTGAAATGAAATTCAATGTCAATATAAGTTTTGTTCATATGAATGGCATTTTTCATTTCTTATTTATGAGATGAAAAGATGTGATTATATATTTTAATAAAATGAATGAAAAATTAAGCTATAAATTTATTAAACATAATAATCACAAGATTTAGTATAAAAATTTCTTCCCTAGATTGATAAAATCAGCAAAGTTATATGTAATTCATTTTTGATGATGGCAAAAGAAGTAATTCCTTTATATACTATAGTTTTACATAAATCGATATTTTCTTTGATACTCAAGAAGTTTATTATCCTTACCAGCATAGCATATTTCACGTTTTTGTTCTCCCCATTGACTACCCACACCTCGACATAGGAAGTAACTCTTGCAATCAGTTGGATCTGGCCATTGACCATCTTTTAATTCTTCACATACATCTTCTGGTGCTAAAGAATAAAATGTCTCGTTTTCCATTTCCGCAAAAAAAAGCGTGTCGTACTTGGTCCTTCTGCATCACGTTTAGATTTCTTGGGTTTTTTAGTTGGTTTTTCAGTTATTTGTGGTTGAGGTTGAGAATTAGGTTTGAAATCTAAACAAAATACACTGTTTTTTATGTGTTAATCTATTCTTTATACCTTTATATTCTTTAGTTGGACAAGTTGAACACATTTTTTCTTTTGGTAGTAATTTAAGTTGTCCATGTAGGACAGCTTTAATTGTTTTTATTAAAGGAAATTTTCCTTGACAACAAAATTGTCCACGAAAATCATCCATATCAAGAGTCCATATCATAGCACCACCCAGATTATTTTGTTTTATATAATTAGCCTTTTTATTTTCAAAACTTCATATTAATCAAATAAATCTTTTATCTTACTTTATATTTCATACTTCGAACATTTTCTACACCAGCTTTCGGTTGATTATATGGACCAGTTATAAATGGTACAAGTTGTTTAGCATCCCATGTTTCTTTCATTTTTTCACAAACAATTTGAATACAACTCTAAATATTTCAATATTTTCTAAACAGCAAGATATATGAATATATCACTCATACTTCATAATACGCTACAAAACCACTTTCACCTTTAAATCCAGTATAAGGCATAGCTGGTGTATCACCACGTCCATATGTTCCTAAACCTAACATTATTTTATTAGCTGGCATACCCAATTTTTGATAATATTTTACAGCAAAATCCTATATTAAATAGAAATTATTTTTTCAAGAAAAAGTTCAATATTTATAATACATACAATATACATTGTATCATCTTTTTCATTATCTTTACTATTAAGTGATGAATGATGTGCACGATTTTGATCCCATGAACCATGAAAATCATATGTCATTAAATTAAACCTTTATTTATAAGATGAAAATAAAATGATTTCAATTGTTTTATTCTTACCAATCCATTACTCTATAAATAAATCAAATTTCGAAGATTTTCTTAACAAAAAAAACAATTAACTTACGGAACAAGTTTATCGACTTCATATGCTTTATCAATATTAATTTTTGCAGCTGAGACAGCAGCAGTAAGAAGAAGACGTTCATTACCACTAGCTTCTGCTTCTTTTTCAAATGTTTCATATAAAATCTTATCAAAAAAATTTATTTATTTTTCTTCTATTTCCTATACTAACTTCACACATTCTTGTAAATTTTTGTTTATCTTCTTTGGGACTATCTCTCCAATCAACACCTAATTATTATTCAATAGAATTTATCTAAATTATTTTATAGAGATTAATTACCAGGGTATTCGAAATCTAAACGAAAAATAAATAAAATTTGTTTAAAAAATACTTCATTTATTCATTTACCAAGATCAAGACCATCAAATTTATGTTTTCGTAAATATTTTACAGCTGACTCCGCAAATTTTACCATTGTTTTTTCCGATTTGACAATACCTATTAATTAAATTTCGATAAAAGTACTTGTATCTGTCAATATTTTACTTATCTATATATTAAGAATGATTATCCTTACCTGCAAAATCTTTCATTCCCATATCCTATATAAAACAATTTTATAAAATATTTTCAGAAAAAAAAAATTCCTACCCAACCACCAACAGCTAGTAGAGTTCTTAAATTTTTATTTACACTTTTCCAAGCATTAAATCGTTCAAAGAAACCTTAATAAAAATTCTTAACGTATTATACATCAAATTCATATATACCTGCTTGACTTCCATCTTTTATATCATGTTTTTCCATTGGTGTTAATTGATTATTATCCATTTCAGAAAAAGCATATATAACATGTGTACATAAACAAGGATCAATATCTTCCGGTGTCATTGAACCACCGCCGGGACGTTTTACCGCTAGTAAAAAAAGTATCTTTTACACACAAATAAATCATTTTTTAAATATTTTACCCCAATTTGCAAAATAACATACAATTTTAAATTTTTGTTCAGCAGCAAGAAGAATAGAAACTAAATTCATGAATGATACTATTAATTAGTACAAATGAAATATACCTTTGATAAAGAATATGAATAAAAGATTTCGTGTGAGTATCATTGTTGTCTAATAATCAAGATTAATATTTTAAAATAATATCAAACACCATGAAATGCGTTCGTATTTTCGATTACAATAATGATGAAACATGAACGAACACTGATTATACATTTAAACCGATCGAAATATATGACGTAAAAAGAATAAGCTTCTTTTTTTTTCTTTCGTTCGATTGTTAAGATATTGTCTCTCGGATTAATGTGATTATGTTTGTTCTGTAAATTTTCAATCCGTCTACTACTATTTTGTCGATTGTTCATGTTGCTGTTGCTTTGTTTTATGAGATTAAGACTACACTTTTTTACCGATCTTTTTCTTTTTATGAATAATTAAGTACTATATACACAGATTACCGTAGTAACAACTTATTGATTTATATTTTGTTAGTTAAATAATTTTATGAAAGAATATATTGAACAATTATTCGAAGATAAAATGCCGATAAAGACAAGTAAAATTTATTTTAGGCCTTCAGTGTAAAAATATTATTATTTAAGATACTTTCACAACAAATTGTTGTAATTTCGTCATGAATAAGCAATCGATTGATTCAACAAATAAGAATCCTGTTTATCTTATGAAACATAAAGTTTTAAATCCATTTATTGATTTGAATGAACAAAATCCACAGAGAAGTTTTACTCGCCATTAAAATCAACAAAATAAAAACAATTTTTCAATTCTTATTTCTTTCTACTATCGTGAAAAACATGTCCACGTTGTGCTAATACTTTCAAAATTTCTGCGATATTTCTGCAATCATCAATACCACTATGATGTCTGCCTGTATGTTGAATATTAAGACCATGTAACATTTCCATCATTCCAGTACGCTGTTTTTTACCTAATACTTCATTATACGGTCTTTTTATATTAATCCATTCATTAAAATATCTAGCACGTTCGAATTTAAAATAATCACATTGATTAGGTAACATTGTTTTTAAATCCCAATCACCACAAGTAACAAAAATAGATTTAACTTGTGGATCGAGAAGATTCTCCTTTTGAAGCCATGTATGAAAACGTTGAAGAACAACATCAAGTGTTGGTTGATTAGTTACCATATCTTGAGTTATACCTGTTAATTCTGTACAAAATTTCGTTAAATGAGGATGAACTGTTGGGCTAACATCTAAAGGGAAACAATAATATTTATGGAATTTTATGATTATTTCAATTTACATGAATGAAATGTTGATTCACATTCAAATGTTCGACCATTAATTTTCAAGACAGGAAATTCAATAATTTCAGAAGGTTGAATTTTTTTTTCATCATCACATGTTGCTTCAAAATCAAGTACAAGAAAATAATCATAATTTTGAGGTTGAATAGAATTATTTAATGACACAGCCATTCTTGATTTTCAAACGTGCACAGTTAAAGAACTACTAAGTATACATAAAAGCAAGCATGCTTTTATATGAATATCATTTCTATGTTATTATGCAATAACATAAACAATAACACGCGTCATACGATGAATGAAACATGACTGTTTTAATTGTGAAATATATTTCTTTTGACAATAAATCAACTATGACGCCGTAAATTATATACTAGATTATTGAATATTCATAAATAATTAACTATTATCTAAGAAATTCTTTTTCTTTTATCACATTAAATTTTTATATTAAATAGTAGATAAATTTAGTATATCATATCGTGTGTTTTTTTGCTAATAAATCTAAGATAATTGGTGAAAATTGTATCGATTCTCTTATCTGTCTTATTAATGATTTATTATAATTAATAGGAAGTAATATAACATAACAATAGATACTTAATCTATGTCGAAAAAATAAAGCAATTATAAAGTTATTTTTTCTAATGAAAAAAAAAAGAATCTTCAACTTAGACAATAAGAGAAGTAACATTAACAATGATACGAAACAAAAAATTCTAAATAATAAATATTTTTCCATATCATATCATTTCAATTAGATATTTAAACAATAGTCTTTCTACTAATATCTTTTCTCTTATTTTAATCAATAGAATTTAATTATAAAAAGTCAATTGACATATGAGTATCAAATTAAAAATGACCATTTGCTTTCTTTTTCATAGACATTCTGTTGAAAAAATTAGCCTTCCAGTGATTGTGCGTATTTTTTTGCGTGTAGCACGCTTCTTGTTCATAAAAATCATCTTTTCATCAAACACGCACGTCTGTTGTTAAAAAGCAATGAGTAATCATATAGCTAGTTCTTCAATCTAATAGTTAATTGGTTTGCGGGAATGAATTATCTCTCTTTGCTATCCATTATAACTGCTGTTACTAATACTGTCGTTTATTGGCGCTTTCCAATTTCTCTCCGGCATAACATACACATACGGTGCAGTTATCATAGTTTGCCCATCATTGTGCTATTCTTTGTAATTAGTTGTTCGAGAGAAGAAGAAGAAAAAAAAGAAGAGAGAATATGCCTCATGAGAATTGAGAAAAGAAGAAATTGGATGAGATGACAATATGGTCGACACAATGATCCATAGGACATATTGATCGCGTATATTAGAGAGATATGAAATGAAAGATGACAAATGTAATTTGCATCTATATTACCTTTTCTTCTTCTTCTTCTTCCTTTTTACACTGCTGACGCTCATATAGGAAAAAAATTGAAATGTTCACTATAATATAATGTACGCGACAGATGGCTCATTCTTCTTCTTTTTTCCTACTAATTGACCGTGATGGAATCTTCACATCTATACACACTTATTTTAATTAAAAACAGGACCCCCGAATGCCATCATCATCATCATTCATTCTTTTTTTGCTTCTGTTCTTTGTCTGTCGCTTTAATCAAATTTTCTTTTTCTTCTTAGGCAAATCGAGATTTATTCTGTAACTTTTTTTTTTTTTAAAAGATTTTTCTTCTTTTAAAGATAATGACAAATACAAATATTCTTTCGACAAATAAAAGTTATATTTGTGCTAATTGTAATCAAATTATTAATGATCGATATATGCTTCAAGGTAAAGATTATTTGTCGATTTGTAATTCTATCTATTTCATTCTTATATATTTAGCTTTAGATAAAATGTGGCATGAAGATTGTTTAAAATGTGCTTGTTGTGATTGTCGTTTAGGTGAAACAGGTTCAACATTATATTTAAAAGCTAATTTAATACTATGTAAACGTGATTATTTACGTTTATTTGGTATGACTGGTCATTGTGCAAGTTGTCAAAGACTCAGTAAAGAAAAAAATTCATTCTCAAATTCTAAAATATATAGTTTTTTTTAGTTCCAGCATTTGATTTAGTAATGCGTTGTGGAGAACTTGTTTATCATTTAAATTGTTTTTCATGTTATGAATGTCAACAAAAGTTTGTTAATTATTTCTATCAAAACAAAATTTCAATCTATTTTCTTTTTTTATGGTTATAGATTTTGTGTTGGTGATCGATATTTCTTATATAATAATCAAATCTTATGTGAAGATGATCATGAACGAACAAGAAAAGCTTTATTATCTTCTTCTACGGATTCTTCACTTTATTCAAAGTAAAAAAAACATCATGTGAATAACACTCAAAAAAAAAACATTTTTTGAAATTAACCTTTCATGAAATATCGATTTTGACTTTGTATATTTGAAATTTTACCATTAAATTGAAAATCAATTTCAAAATCAAGTTTTTTCTAAAAAACATAAATCAAATAAATCGATATTTATTGAAAAAATCTTACTGTATTTTCAAGATTAACTTTGCAAGAGAATTCTCCTTCTAATTGTTCATCTTGTTTTATTGTTGCATAATCAGGAAAATAGAAAACAGTTTGTTTCCAATGTGTATAACCAGCACCAGGTGCTAGAGAAGAAAAAATATACATACAAATTAGAAGAAATTATTTTTCTTTTGTAAATAAATATTTATACCAGTATTAATTACTGTTCTTTGTGGACATGCTGTAAATTCAACAATAAAATATGTAACAAATGCATGTACATAATCATCACGTAAAGCACGAAGTCGAAATTTACTATGGACATTTATATCATTAACAGTCATAGTTTTTAAATCGAATGTCTTAAGTGGAAAATGATCCGTACATATTTGACGTTTATCGACGGTATCAACTAATGGTTCACGCATAACGTAATTTTTTAAACAACTCATATTATAACCATAAACAGTAGACCACCCTAGTTTTTAGAAAAAATAATTTCAAAATTAAATATGTTTTTTTTTTTGGAAAAAAATTACATTCAACTTTATCTTCTTTATAATCGCGATCTTCAATACCGACCATGTACATTGTTGCACGATCAGGAAAAATTAAGCCATCAGGTTTCTAAAACAATTGAATATTTAGATAAATTCTGAAATTTAAAAATAATAATTACAAGGAATTTATCGCGAGCATAGATAACACTTTGAATAATTGAATCATAAAATAAACAATAACCCATCCATTCAGCAATAATAATATCAACTTTATCAATACCTTCAGGTAATTCAATATCTTCAATTCTTCCTTTAATGACTCTAATTACTATCAAAAAACAAATTGTTTTAAGGATAATCTCAATACTATTAATTTACTTTTATCATATCGATTTGCACGAATAATTCGTTTAGCATATTCAATAACATTTGATTTTTCAACCTATTTGAAATAAATACAAAATTATTTTTTTTGAAAAAAACTAAAAGACAAACTTTACCGCAATAACCATTTTGGCACCAGCTTTAGCTGCGAATAAACTAAATATACCTACACCACAACCAATATTTAATACTACTTTATCTTTAAATAAATGTCGATTGTTTATCATAGCATTACGAAATGTTTTTGTTCGAATTTCATCTTTTAATAATTCCTAATATGAAAATTAAATTTACAAAAAAAAATGTTAACTTCATTTTCAATTCATACGAACTTCATGAACAGCAAAATGTGCAGTTGAATCAAGATAATATTCCTTTGATGTCATATCTTCTGGTATCATTTTATCAAGTTCAGTTGAACCATTCTATTCAATTAATAAGTTTACAAAACAAATATCTTCTTATCATTTTATTATACATACAGTCATTCGATGATTATTTTGTACTTCCATAGTTTGTTCTCTTGGCTCAAAACTAGCTACTTTCTTTACTGTTCGTTGATCTACTGATTTATCTTGTGCTAGTTGATCAGATGATTTATTCATATTAAAAATATCGAGGAGTTAGCACGTGGTAATAAAAATAACTATTGAAGATAGAAGGAAGAAAAGAAAAGAAAAAATAACGTTTCCAATTTATAATATCCAATCGAATGTGATATATATATTTGAATTTATTTTCAAGTCTCCGAGAAATGAAAATTAATCAGATATAGATGACACTGTTCTACTTAAACAAAGATACACTACTAATCTTTAACATTAGTAATACAAAGACACTTGCTCGATTATGAAGAATAATTTATTTTCGGTAACACATACCGATTCTTTCTGAAAGAATATTAGATTATATTTTAGTATTTACAATATTTGAAAATAATTTTATAAGGAATAGACATATTTGATCATAAAGCCACTACTAATATTATAATATTCAAAATAGAAAAAAAAGTCAATTAATAAAATTAATATCACAACTACGATAGTAATAATAAATATTAAGATAATCAAAAAAAATTGTATTAACTACATGATCCATCAAAAGTTATTAAAAATCGAGCTCTCCATGATTCATCACCATTGACTAATGGATACCAATAAATATAATTTGTATCCCAAACATTATTATGTAGATTATATGCCATACCATCTAATGGTGGTGAATCTCCTGGTGCTGGAAATGGAAGAGCTGTTGGCTCTTTACCTTGTAATATTGGACAAGCTAAAATTACGAAAAAAAAAATGACTAATAAAGATTTTCTCAAACAAACAAACAAACCAATAGGTGCATCATAGGATTTAACATTGAGTGTAACAAAACATTTTGATGATAAACTTGTTTGACATGAAAATGTATCGACACCTCGTTGAAAATAGGATGATTTATTTGCTGCTTGTTGAACATCAACTTTTGTATCATATTGAATTAATGAACAAGATGGTTGCATTGGAAGTAAAAATTTTATCATTGATGCTTCAGCAAGACGTGTTGCAGTTTTATTTAAACCCATCCATTCAAGTTGAAGAGATGTTTCATCAAGAAATTTATATGTTAACCATATTTCACCAAAACCACCATATAATTCAGTTGTAGTACTATCAAGATTTAATAAAGCAAGGAAAGTATTGTCATCAGTTCGAGAACGATAGAATTTTTTCAATGATGGTAACCAAACTTGTGAAGCAGGCTTAGCATTTACAGTTGAATTTGGTTTATCATAACCTAGAAATTAAAATTATTATTCTTGAATTGAAAATTATTTGTGTACCTGGATTTCCATATGTATCGGTTAAATGATCAAAATCTGTTTCATTATATGTTATATAAACATAGGTTCCTAATTGAGAAGTTTTATCTGTCCAATAAATAGTATTACTACGCGATAAATTTGAAATTGATCCTAAATTTTTATCGAATGAAACATGGACTGGATTGGATGATTTTGGAAATAATACGAATGTTTCTATTGGTGAAACAGCTTTAAAATGATCTAAATTAGGTTTTTTAACATTATCAAATGCAGAACGAAGTTCTTGTTGTATTAAATTATAGAGTGGATGATCATTAACAGTTTCTAAGTATAAATCAAAAAATTTTCGTTGTTCAAGCCAAGCTAATCGACAATTATTATATGTTTGCATTGTATTAACAACTTTTTCAAATTGTTTATTACTCCAATTAATTTCATCATATAATGATGGTAAACCCCATGTATGTTCTAGAAAATATTAGAAAAAATATTAGTGTAGAAGGATATTAGTTTTCATTTACCAGGAATTTTAATAAGATATCGACTTGCATTAACTAATTGATCATCATCTGTAGTACATAATTTACGTTCAAAACATGTTGCTAATGCTCTTTGTAATGCTTGATATTGTTGAACACGTTTTGGATCTGATCCAATACCTTGTAACCATGAATCTGATATATCTCGATCAAATAATTCCAATTCAGGTGCGATACCAGCTATATCTTCAAGAAAATTTTGAAAAGATGATGAAATTATTTGAGCATTTGGATATGATTGACGAAGAATTTCATGATTTTGACGTATTTCAGCAATTGACATTGGTGGTCCTATGAATACATATATGAATAATAGTTTTTTTTCTAAAATAAATTTTACCTTGGTTATCAGTACGAAATGCAAATGCTAAACCAATACCAATTTCTGGTACTATAACAAGATCATCAAGTGATAAACCACCTGGACTTGCAAATGTTGAACCAGGATTATTTGGATAACCAAATACATGCCATGTTGCAAGTACACTTAAATCATCACTTGTTCCCCATCGAAATACACCTTTTGGTACATCAACATCCGTTACCGCTTAAAATTAAAACAAAATTCTTTTATGATTATTCGAAATTCATCTTACCTGCATTAACTCCTACTGTAACCATCGATTTAAACGAACAATATTGTGAAAAATATTGATTTAATGAACGAATAATTGCGATTGGTATACCAGGTACATCACGTACACTAATAACACACGGAACAGGAACATTAAAACGTTTTGCTAATGAAACAGATAAATCTAATGATTGATTTAAAGCTCGTTCATCCATCCATTCATATTGCATATTCATTGCGCCAGCATGCCATGTGATTGCACCAGTACGTATTGCTCTTTCAATTAATTCTAATTCATCTTTTGATGGACATTTTAATTGAATTCCAGCAAGAACTAAATTCGATGGACAATCAAAAAACATACTAAGTAACCAAGGATGTGTCGTATATACAAATGTATCATAAGGAGATATTCGACGAATTTGTTCAGCTAAAATAGCTGCACGAGGAAAATATTGATGAAAATATATATTAAGAATATTATTTATAAAACCAGTTGTTGGAATACCATTATAACCAACATCTAAATGATTCCTAATCAAAAAATATTATTTTTATTAGAAATACGAAATAAAAAATTTACATATTAATAACATGAATACGTGTAATATTTGATAGAAGATGTTTCCAACATGTAAAATCTTTGAATTTTGGCCAACAAATTGTTGGTAAATCTGTTGAATAACTAATGATACCAGACAAAATATTTCCATTATCACATACGAGATCTATTGACGTATCATTAGTTATATTTATTGTAGCTGTTGCCCAAGCTAATGATTGTCCAGTAACAGTAACTATATGTCGATTGAAAGAAGGTGAATAATCAATATTAAAAACATATTGATTATCATTATCGGGTATTGACATATAATAATATCCATCTAAATTCGGAATATTAGCTCCAACTTTATTATCAGCTGATGCAATTAGAAACGATATCACAAGAAACAAAATACTGGCAAACATCTTAAAAGAATGAAAAAGAAAATATTAGCAACATCCATTATATAAGTTAAATATATGAAAATGCATACACATAGACACCTTTGATTATCACCAAATACATAGAGGTAAATAAAGATAACAAAGTTATATCTAATGATACAGATTTTTGTTTCTTTTTTAACCAAAAAATTTATATTCAAAGTCAATGGATATAGAGTAAAATAATATTAGATATCTGTTCATAATTATTTTTCATTTGTATAGTTAAAAGAATATAGATAAGTTATACTAAGATGATTAAGGTCAAAACAATAGATTTTCATTTAGAATTTTTTAATAAAATATATGAATACTTTCAAAAGCCAAGCGAAAAAGAGTATTAATTTTAGATGTCGTTGCTAAGAGCTCGAGAATATATAGTATAAATTATTTTAGTATAGCAGTAAATTTCAAAAAAAATAATATTAATTGTATCTGCTGGTTTTATTTCATGTACATATAAATCATATCTATAACTATGGAAATTTCGAATGAGAAAAGAGAACAAACATCCTATTCGTAAAGATAAAAATTTGATCATGATTTTGTCTGTTGTTGTTGTGTTGGTACAAGTGATGGTGATGATCCCGATGTTGTTGATTCTTCTGCCGGTAAATGCGAAATAATATCACCAAGATTTGATTCGAGTGTATCTATTTTTCTACCTAATTCATTCATACGATTCATAACTTGATCACTTGCAGCTAAAAATTTTTCTTCCATTTGATGGAAAATTGTATTAACCTATTTTAAATTAAGAACTTTTTTTTGAAATAAAAATATTCTTAATTTAAAAAACTTACATAAGTTGTTAAACCATTAACATTATTTAAATCAGACGGTAAAGTAGGTGTTGTATTAGTACCATTGACATGATTTGTCGTTGATGAAGATGATGATGATAATGTTCGTGTATCAGTCATTTGTTTTCAAATATCTAAATAGAGAAATTGGCAAATGTGAATATAAAAACAATGCATGACCGATTGTATATATGTGTGCATCGCTTTTTTTTCTTCTTTTTCTTGAAATATAAGAGGTGTCTGACCGTCCAAATCGATAATTAAATCAATAGACGGCGCTAGTCAACATCATAAATCTAAATCAATTTATATGTAGATAGACAAAACTTCGATATTTCATAAATATAAAAGGCATATAGATCAAGAACGCATTGTTAATAATTCTTCCAGCATTTCACTTGATTTCATTATAAATATGTATGAAGAAGAAGAAGAAGAAAAAAGCCAAGGCATCTTTTACTCTTTGTTCTCGTTTAAAATAACAATATTTTCATTTTCAAGGATTTTATTTCAACAAAAAAAAAGAAATTAGAAATAAATTTATTCAATTGCTTAGTTATTGTTAGAATAAATCTTTTTTTCTATTTAACCTTTATTCTCTGATTTAATGCATATATATATATGCATAGTGCGAAGAGTATCATGGTATGTTCCTTGAATTGCTATCATGTAGATTATTCTCATTAACATGCTATTGATCATAGAATTACCCAGCGTCTGGAATGACATGATCAAGGTTAGCATTAATCTTATAATAATGATAATGATAAGCTTTGACTTTTTCTATCAACGATTTATCAAATTTTTCTATGATGAACATCTGCTAATTTTTTTGTTTAAATAACCAAAAGGTAAATATTTCTTTTTGATTAGTCTTGATATCAATAAATGATATTAGTCATTGTAATTCTAATTAATCTAATAACATAATTCTCTAGGCGGGTAAAAAGAAAAAGATATGTACTGGTTGAAACATTATGATAAAATTATCTTATAACTAGCATATATGTCAATTCCTATTCACATAGTTTCGATTAATATTTTTATCTGATTCTTTTCTTCCCTCTCTCTCTCTTTCATCAGTCACTCATTCTCTGATGCTTTTGCAGCTGGTTACTCGCTTCTTCTTCTTCTTCTTCTTTTTTTTCTTCTACTTCTGCCTATCTGTAGCTATCAGTATGTATCTCTATGCGGTTTATTTTTTATGTTATCATATTTATTATTAACGGCATTTTTCTTTTGTTTTATATGTATTGCTTCATTGCTCTTCAATAGTCTTAAAATAATAATTAACACTGCTTTTATGAGCATATATACTTTTTCAAGGATATGATATTTCGCTTGATGAACACTCATTATATCTATTATTCACTATAAATCATTCTCATATTTCCATCTTTCATCATTGACAAAGAGATTTTTGGTCACGCACTTTTTTCTCGTTTTTATATTTCTTGTCAGTCTGCATCAAATTACCTCTCCCATACACACACACACACATATATGTATACGTATACACAAGTCTCTGAGGGTTGTGCGCACATACACACACAAATAAATTAGATGAACCATTCATTGTATTTTGTATGTGCCGGCGTTTTAATATTGAATGATGAATACGTAATCGACTTTATATGAATATATGTATGTATGTATGTATGTATGTGTATGACGATCAGCCAGTGGGGGTCAAGGCACGCCTACGTATATACACGATTATTCGCTCGTATTGTAGGTATTTATTCGTCTTTCTTGTTTAGGTGCTTGATTGGACAGGAATAGTAGTATTATAACGCGTAGTGTTTCTTCTACTGATGCCTTTTTCTCTTGATTGAAGTGTATATTTATTGAACACATACGAAAAGAAATCATTCGATGATTGTATTTATGTGAATAAGAAACGCAAGGGAGAGAGAGAGAGAAAGAGAGAAATAGAGACAGAAGGAAAAGGTTAATGTTTTATAGCTATCGAAGAAAAATATCTACAAAGAAGACTATAAATCTCATCTATGGAAATGATGATATGTCACAATCATCAATAAAGTATACTCTCAACGGGTGTATCGATCATTATTTTCTGCTTATCATCTATCATTGTGATATTCTTTTAATTTCTTTGTACT